TTTATCAGTCCTCATCCCAGGGCCTGGAAGAGTGTGGCAAACACCAGGCCCATGCCCGCTAAAGGACCGGATGAACCGAGTCCTGACTGGCTCCTCCTCAGAGTCATTCAGACTTGAAATGACAGTGTACTGAGCCCTGAGGGCACTGAGAGGGTTCTGAGGTCGGTCTCAAAGAGCAGTGTTGTGTGCTGGGGGCCACAGTCTCAGGAACCAGGTCCATGTACACTGAGCTAGGGGTCTCAGGGGAGCAGGCACCCCAAGCATCCAGGCTGCTCAGTGGCCAGCCAGGGTTCCTGAGCCAAGACCCTGCGTTCTGCTTTCTGCCGACCTTGGGGGTATGAGGTTGCAGAGTGCAAGGCTGGAGGACATTGTTGGGAGCCACAGGCCTGGAACAAAGTGAGGCAGGTGGGTGGGTCCTGCGGGGTACTCCCTAAAGCCCATCAGATAGGGCTGCCCTGAAGAGGGATCCTAATGCCTGTCCAGGCAACTCTGAGGGGCTATTCCCTCCTGGCGACAAGGGGACCCCCAGGGCTGGGTCCATTCACCAGGAAGGGTGAGCCCTGCCCATTACTGAAGCCCACCATGGGGATGAAGTTGCCCAGCTACACCCTCTTGCACCCTTGGCCTGCCATACTCTGTTCAGTGGAACAGCCATAGCCACTTCCGGTTCCCAGTCAGACCCCGAGTCCTAGCCTCACCCTCCCTCCTGCTGCTCGCTGGTCTCCCTGGGCCTTCTGTAATTTTTTTCTTTTCTTAAAACTCTCCTGACAGATTATGTAAGAGCATTTTTTTCTTTTCTTTTGAGTTGGAGTCTTACTGCGTTGCCCAGGCTGGAGTGCAGTGACACGCTCATGGCCACCGAAGCCTTGACCGTGGCCGGTGGGTTCCGGTGATCATTTTGCCTCAGCCTTCCAAGTAGCTGGAACTACAAGCGCATGTAAGAGCATTTTTACAACATGTTCACTGTATACAAAAGTTAGGGTTTAGAGAAAAACCTAGCAGGGAAGCAAGAATCACCCGACACCCACTGCTCAGGAGGCAACAGCAGCGAAGTCAAAGTCTCAGTGGACTTGCTCCTGACTGTGCCCAGGCCTGCTGAGGGGGCCCTGCCCTTGCCCTGCTCCAGTGGGCACTCCACCTTGCAGTCAGGAGGGCAGAGAGGCTGTGGGGGTGGCAGGCAGGGGTGATGGAGTGGGGGGTAGAAGAGTGCCCCCACCAGGGCGGCACCAGGAGGGTTTGATGGTGGACCATCTGAGCAGCATGTGGGCCTCCAGCGTCAGGAGGGAAGCACCCGGGCACCTCAGGTTCCTGGCAGAAGCAGGGGCCTCCAGATGCTCCCATGGCTCCCAGTGTCATGTGGGGTCCCAGGGGCCTCATCCTCCTCCCATCATCCCCTGCTTCTGGTGAGGACAGGCTTAGAGTCTCAGTGATGAAACTCAGGCCTGCTGAATAGACTAGAGGTGCCAGGGCCTGCAGGGCTCTCTTGACTTTGCTTGCTTTGCAAGATTTCTAGGTGGTCCTCAAACACCCTCTGAGCATCCAAGGGGAATGCGTATTTAGTGGTGAGGAAGGAAGCAGGACTTGGGCAATGGGAGTTTTGGAATTCATGGTTTATTGACACTTGCACAGTAGGAGACCACCTTCTGGTCCCTTCATCTTAGGACCTGTCCCTAAGAACAGGGGAAATCATCATCCTGTCTTGGAACAAGTTCTTCCTCGCACAAGAACACAACTCCTGGGAAACTCACCGAGATGTGCACAGATAAACCCTTGACAAGGCCCACGTGGCACATGAATGGCAAACTTGGCGCTTTGGCAAAGCTGTGGAGCCTTGACGGAAAGCACAGGACTCTGGGACTGTCCTTTTGGGATCTGGAAGCAAAATATACCCAGGAACATGGATTCTTTTACACAGGCCTGGCTGGCTCTGTTTAGCGTGGGGCAGAGCCAATCCTGGAAATACTGCCTGAGGTGGCTGAGATGCCACACGGGGATGTGCCACAGCAGGGGAGAGACAGGCTGCAGTGAAGGGCAGCAGCTGGACCAAGGACTCTGAGGGCCTGTGCTTCTCCTGTGGGGCTATGTCCTTCTCCCCCTCATACACACCCATGTCCTATCCTGGGTTCTGGGGCTGGGTTGGCCTCTGGAACTCTGACTATCTTCCTATCCCAGTGGGCCAGGCTTGGAATCAGCTGTACCTGGAAAAGTAAGGCTTCTTTTCTCCAGCACTCGTCTTCCATATAAGGCGCTGGCATCTGTAGCTCGGTTCTTTTCCAACCCACTTAATTTTAAGAATAGACACTAATAATACTTCATCATCCCCACTGCCGGCAGTGGGGGAGGGGCCCTCAGCACTGGCAGCATTTCCTTAAGACATGCCAGGCTCACCTGCACCCCCAGAATTCCAGGTCCGAGGCGCTGCACTCAGTGCAGCCCCTCATGCCTTGCAAAAGGGAAACTGAGGCCCAGAGAGGTACAACAACTTGCTCAGCTCAAACAAGGAGCAAGAGGTAAACCTGGGGCTTGAGAAAGGGATTTCCAGGCCGGCATACCCGAAGATGACATGGTCCAGGAACCTTGGAGGCTAAAGAGGCCTAGTGGCTTCCAGTCCAACCCGGGCAAGATGGAAGAGCCCTCCTCTGTGCCTAAGCACTAGTACAAACCCAGCCTCTGTGCAGGGGGAGAATGAGGGCTCTCTGGGTTCCAAAGCAAGGACGGAGCAGCTCCCCACACCAGTATCAGACCTGACACGGCTGGGGAGCTTCTTGGCATGCTGAGGCCATGAAGAGATCTCCTGGCACAGCCTCAGTTGGGGTATGAATCAGACCAGGTGGTGTTACCTGAGTCTCCATGGGGTGAAACTGCACTCTTGGCAGTAACAAACAGAATATTGCAAAGAAAAAACACAAGCTAATAGCTCCCGCCCTCCTTCAAGGTCATGCTCACTGACAGAACAGGTTGGTAGCAAAGAATACAGCCACATCCCTGCATCTTGCCCAGTCCTGTGCTGAGAGGGCACCAGGGGCCCTGGTTTCTGGCTCTCAGGAGGCAGTGGGACTTCACGTTAAGTCAAGCAATACCTGGTCACTGTTGGTGGCAGCTGTTCTCTGAGTGACAGTGACTATGCTTAAGATGTGTTTTATCAGGAGGCTTTAACAAGGCATTGACTGTGTGGATTCCATGACTTCATCCATGTTGTGTGGATGAGGGGGAAGGATGGGTGTGCCTGTGGCGTCCTCAAGCACCTGCCCTCTGTGAGCAGAGGGGAGAGCCGGGTACTCAGGGCACAGCTGTGAGACCTTCCTGCGGACTGTCCCGCTGTCTCTAAATGCCTTAATGGGACTGTACTGCCCAGCACCTTCCCCCTGCCACCCCTCCCCTAGAAACCTTGGGAAGTCACCCACTGTCCTGCTTGGCCCTTCCAAGTCCTCCCCCACTCCATGTCCTTTGTACAGTGCTGCTGCCCAGCCCGGCCACTTTGGACTCTGCACATGCCACGTGAGTTCCCTGAGGCACCACAGTCGCCTGTGAGCCCTGCCTCTGCCTAGGGAATGTGGCGTGCTCTCCCAGCTGGCCCCTGGGGAAGGCAAGGCAGGGAGGCTTCCAGCTGCAGGGGTGAGACCAGGGGCTGTGGTCTGTGCTGTCAGACTCCAACAGTGGCCCTACTGCCTCCAGACAAAGCCAGAAACCTGCAGGCTGCCTCTGGCCAGAGCCTCTTAACAAAGCATCTTTCCCTACTAGATCAATTTGATTACAAATGCAAAAGCCATTTGGAATGTTCCAGTCAAACAGCAGCAAAGTCCCTTCACACGGGATCCAGCCAGGGCCGCAGGGTGGTGTGGAGGTACATGGGTCACAGTCACCTTGGGTGCCCTGAACCCTGTCAGGCCCAGGCACCACCATGTAGCAGCCATGACTCCTGGCAGGGGGCTGGGGTGAGGGGCTCCTGCGAGTGCCTGGCATCACAAAGAGGCAGAAAGAACTCTTCAGAAAGAATTCAAGCCCAAATTATGCCGCCCTAACAAAACAAATACTTTTGTAAAAATGTCAGCCGTCACAACATACCACAGGCACCACAGTCCCAGCCCCCTCAAAGCTGTGTAAGGCACTTGAGTGGCTATTAACACCACCTGGAAAAGTTTCTGTTTCAATCCTGACTTAGAAAATAAATTCAGTAATACTGCAAAAAAGGCTTCCTCGAAAAATAGTTAAAAAATGTAAATACTTAAAGTTTCCTAAGGAATAAAATAAACGCTAAGCTCAGCGTAAATTATATGACACAGTGGGTCATCTTGGCACTGATGAAACAAAGGTAACACCTGAAATACTGTTTCGGAATTACTCTTCCCTGGAGAAAATCAAGCACACAAGCAAAAGACACGTGTGCAGTGTGGGTCCTGACCTCACTCCCCAGGGTGCCCAAGGGAAGAGAGGGCCCAGAAGGCCCTGGGGGCCCCAAACATGTCACAGGTTGCCCTGGAGTGGGGTGACTGTGGTTGTGGAGACCACTGACACCCCTTTCCTTCCAAGGAGCCACTCTCTGCTCTCTGGGGAGCTAGTATGGCCCACAGAACCTGCTAGGCACATCTGTCAAGATGAACCTTCCTCACCATGGCCCCAGCAAGGTGAGGAGCAATGGGAAACCTGGGTGGACACCCTGCTTGCTGGGCCCCATTCCAGTATGCGCCTGAAGAAGTCTGTAGGTTCTAGGTCTGTCCTGGGGTCCCACACATGTGACTACACTGCTCCGTGCACACCAGTGTCTTTGGTTTGGCTGCCACTGGGCGCCTCTAACCCCAGGTCCCACCCCTATCCTGGTGGGAGTCGGGGGCAGGAGCCAGGCCATTTCCTGGGCCATCTTCTCTTTGGTGGGTCTTTCCTCGGCTTCTGTGATTTGCCTGTCATCTAGCACAGTTCTGCAGCCTCCAGGACAGGTTGTGGTGAGCACCACCAGTGGTTCCTGGGTGCTAGGGAGCCCTGTGGGGTGGGCACCCTAACCACTGCCGCCTGCTGGGTCCTGAGGCCTCTGGGGAGAAAATGACAAGGGTGGGAGGAGGGGATGGGTGGGGGCCCTGGGTCCCCTAACTTCTCTGTGGAGCATCGGTCTCAGGCTGTGGGAGGCCACAGGGCAAGTCCAGGGAGTCCCCTGTCCCCTGGATCCTACTCTCTAGCAGCTCTCGGGGGTCCCTGAGAAAGACCACCATGACCGTGATGTTGTCATGGGAGCCCCGTTCCCGGGCCGCGGTCACCAGCTCCTCGGCAACGTGGAGCCCACTGCCCTGCTGCCTGATCAGGTGGCTCTGGACGAGACCAGCGACTTCCTTGTGGGGGACGACATCAAAGAAGCCATCACAGGCAAGCAGCAGGTAGTCTTCAGAGCCTGTCAGCTCCCAGGAGGCTGCGTCTGCCTCCCCGGACACGTAGGGCTTCTGGAAGACATCCCCTGGGCAGGAGAGAGGAGCCTTGGTCAGAGGACTGTGGATCTCACTGCCAGTCACCACCTGACACCCTATGGGTACAGAGACCAGCCTGCTCTCAGGGGGCCAGTTGCTCCCTTATGCAAACATAAGTGGTTTCCACCCCTCCTGGAACTGCAGCCTGTGACCCCCCTCCCTGTCTCCCCAGCTGCCACATGGACACGGCCCACCATCTCCTGAGGTGTCCTAAGACACGAGGGCAAAAGCAGCATGAAGAGAGGCTGCACAGAGGGCGCCACATTTGCCAAGGACAGACATCCCGGGAGGTCAGGAGGACAGATGCCAAATCCCATGTGGTTAGCTGGGGAGGGAGAGAGTTCTAAGGTCTCCAAGGGAGTGGAGGTGGTGAGGAGCCTCTAGGCTGAGGTCGAAGCAACTAGATACTGAGAAAATGGGGTGGGTTGGGGAGGGGTTGCTTTTTTTTTCCAAAAGAGAAAAAAGAATCATCAGTATAAATGGGAGGAGAGGAAGATAATGGGGGTATTTGTGGCATATTTAAAACTTTGTTGCTGGGTGTGGTGGCTCACAACTATAACCCCAGCACTTTGGGAGACCGAGGTGGGAGGATTGCTTGAGTCCAGAAGTTTGAGGTCAGCCTGGGCAACATAGTGAGACCTTGTTTCTACAAAAAAATTTCAAAAATTAGCCAGAGCAATCCCCTCGGGTCCCTTCCTGCTCTGAGAGTTTTTCTATCCTCTCAATAAAACCTGTTTTCTAAAACAAAAATTAGCCAGGTGTGGTGGTGCATGCTTGTAGCTTCAGCTACTCAGGAGGCTAAGGAGGATCGTCTGAGCCCAGGAGGTCAAGGCTGTGGTGAGCTGTGATCATGCCACTGTACTCCAGTCTGGGCGACAAAGTGAGACCCTGACTCAAAAAACAAACAAACAAAAAACTTTTCTTCTAGCACAGAGTAGCTAGCCAAGGGTTTCCTACTAGATTTTGGGGAAGCTATATTAATAAAGAGATAATAACATACAATATACCTTAAACAGTGATTATCTGTGCAAGATGGAGGTTTCTCAGGTGCTCGCAGATGTGGTCTCTACATCTGCCCCACTCCCTTCATTATAGGCTGAGACTGTCACCTCATAGCAGGTAGGGCCCTTTCAGCATATCACAATGCCATCCTGACCCCCTGGTGAGCCACGGACCAGCCCTTCCCCCTCTCACCAATGGCTCTGGAGACAGCCAGGGTCCCATTGACTCGCCAGCAGTCCATGTGAGACACAAAGCCACCCAGCGCTTCAATGCGTGCCTTCTCATCCTGTGGGGAGACAGCCAGAGTCAGGGGCCTGGGCGGGGACAGGGCAGAGGGCCCTGCCACCACTTGAGCAGAGGCTGAGCTGCTTCCTAAGATTTGGATTCTATGGCATCGGAAGCAATAGCATTTGAACAAGGGCAGGAGGTTCTAAGATACCCAAATTAGTTGTCACTAAAAACAGTGAGAAATTATAAATAACATAAATGTCCCTCAGCCGCAGGAGTGGCTAAACAAACGGGCCACCTGAGGCCACCCAGCAGTGACTGCAGCCCTGGGCAGCGTTTCAGTGTCAGGGAGGTGCAAATAAGGTTTGAGCCCCAGACACAGGTGATGGATCCCTCAGTGTCCTCATCATTAGCTCGGGGACACTGTCCCTGCCCTGAAACCTGCCAGGACAGCAAGATACAGTGTGTTACCCACACAAACCCAGGAAACCCAAGCCAGACCCTCGCAGGGCCTGAGCCCGCGATTCTCATCTTTCTCCACCCAAGCTTTGTCCCAGGCATGGTCTCCACTGCCAGGGAACCATGGGACTCCAGGCCTAACCTCCTCCAAAGGGCAGGAGAGAGGCTTGGGCAGCCACAAGACCCTCTGGACACCTCTTGGGTCCTATCAGTTACCCCAAAGGAGAAGCTTCCTGAACAAGAGCCTGCCATTCGAGGTTGGGGGCACCGGTGTTTGCCAAGGCAGAGGGAAGTCTTGGGGAGTGAGGTCTCTCACATGTCTGCTGGGGAAGGGGCATCCTTCACCCCAACTTCCCTTGACTATCCTGATCCCACTCAGAGTGACAGAAGCACCAGCCCTTTTGCGTCTCAGGGCATGACACCAGCTGGGCATAGGAACTCTGGGCATAGGAACTCCCAGAGGTTGGCAGCTACTGGACAAATTGGTACATCAGCCTGGTCCCCTTCCCAGTACAGATGCAGAACTGTTGTGGGAGGCCTGGGAGATGGAGCCCTCCCTCCAGACGCCAGGCTTCCTTGTGAGGTCCTGTCACAGTGGGAACAATGTGGGCTTGTGGGAGCCCAACCCTTCTCAGTGCCCCTGTTGTGGGCCTGCATGGTGACTAGACCTGTGCCTGGTGGGCTGGGTGTCTCTGTCACTAGAAGCTGTCACCTGTCCCAGCTGAGCTGGGGTGAAGGAGGAGGGACTAGGAGACCTTGAAGGCTCCCTCTGGGTCTGAGACTTCCTGCCTTTGTGGTCTCAGTGGGGCCAGAGAAAGGCAAGGAGGATAAGGGAGGGAGGAGGAGGTGGGGCCCTAGAGGATGGGAGAGCAGGTTGGGGAGAGGGAGGTTGATGGGTACACACCACACATACATGTTCACATATCCACGTGCTCACACACACACTTGAAGAGGCCCATAGACCAGCGAGAAACTGCAGATGGGAGCAGACTGCACCCCCAGAACAGCCCCCACCCCAGGAGGTGTCCTCCTGGGAGGGGCTGTGAGCTTGAGGGTGCCCAGCCCACACTGTGGGAGGACACAATGAGAATCGTGAGCCTCTCTCTGCTTCTGTCTCCCACACGCCCCATCCCACCCAAGCCTGCAATGCTTGTGAGGTGGGGACAGTGGGTGGGTGACTCGAATGAACTGCAGCTGCTCCCATGGCCCCTCGAGGTGCGGTGCACAGCCTACATCCTCTATCTCTACTTTTGGGGAGGGGCAGCACTGAGGGAACCAGGCCCACCCATCCCTCCTGGGGTGGCATCTCCCCCACAGGCTGTATAGCCTGGAGGCTCAGGCTTTCTGAGCTCAAAGCTTTCCTTCCTGAAGTCCCTGCTCCCATGAGAGATGGCTGCAGGGACAGAGTTGAGGTGGGGGGGGAGATGGGAGAGTGGCTGGGTCACACAGCTCCCCTGCAGCCTGCAGCCCCCATCCTGACCCACTAGCCCCTGTCTTTGCAGCTGCCCGGGTTCGGCACCAAGGGAGCTGGTGCTGAAGCAGGCATGTCTTGCCACCAGCTCTAGCCCACGTCCTGTGCCCAGTGCTCCTCCCACCCCCCAGCGCCTACCTCAATCCATGTGCTGGCTACACCAGGTCTGGTCCAGGACTAGTGCGTCCTTGGCCTCAAGGGGGCCTGGCTTCACCTCCCATCTTGACATCCACCCCTCAGCACTCTTCTTTGCTCCTCCTCCCTTGTCTTTGTCACCTGCCCGCAACAGCTTCCCCTATTAACAGCCATTTCCAGGGCCCCCAGGAGCGCAGAGTTCAAGTCCCGGCTATTACTGCCTACAGCACAGTCATCCTCTTGGATGCCCAAGGCCCTCTGCCATGTCTCTACTCCCACAGCCATGACCTGTGACCTGAAACTGTAATATCACTGCCCTCCTGAATTCACATTTTTGTGTCCCAGCCCTCAGTTAAGCTGCAGGGAGAGGACAAGGCATGCTGCCATCCCTTACTTCTGTGACAGTGCCTTGCCGAGCTTTCCAAGTTTAGAAGCGTCACAAAGAAAAACTGTGCGTCTCAACTAGAGAAAACACAAATCTTCTATGGACAAAAGTCTAAACAAAGACAAAAGAGAAACAACAAATGGGAAAAAATTTTGCAAACTGCCAGATAAGGAGCTAAGCCACCTAACAGATATAAGGTGCCTATAAATTGGTAAGAAAGATGGGCAGAGTACAGGAACAGAGTGTTTGTAGGAAGGGCCACACAAGCGATTTTACATTTTTTTTTTTTT